CACGTAGAAAAGGACATACTCTGTTTCGTGCCCCTTGCGTTCTCTCTCGCTCGCACGTAGCATGATGAAAGAGAGCGCTATGCTCTGTGCGAGCGAGAGAGAACGCAAGGGGCACGAAACAGAGTATGTCCTTTTCTACGTGCATCTTTACCCCCACTCCTTAAATAAAGGCAAACGCTCGGTCTAGATATACTATGTCTATGTTTTTCGCTAACTCACATCGATCATGTAATTATGTGCGCCAAAAATAACGTGATAACATTATTTGGTCAAATATTGTATTGGATTCGATTTTATTCATCAAAGTTCTTGCATATATCTTCATACTAAGATAACTTTATATATAGCAGTCTTTTTAGGGTCTGTCACTAACCACATACACACACACACACACACACACACACACACGCACACACACACACACTTGTATAGATATATAATGCACCTGTGCACAGAGAAATCATGAACCAATCACACATCTAGCACGAAAACGTAACGATATGGCATCCTTTACATTAGCCACATGATTGGTCAATTTCTTTGGCTTACGTATTTATGCGGCTACCGCAAGTTTGCCTGTGTATAGGTCCCCGCTAGTATAATCGTCAAATCAATAATAATTTATATAAACGCTAATGCAAGAAATAAATTATTTTAAACGCTTTAAAAAAAGTCTGGGTATATATATATATTAAATAAGATAATTTTTACAAACTAACATTAATAACATTATATAACAAGAATGTGTAAAGTAAAATAACTTTAATAACAGCATGAATATATAGTAACAAAAAAGGTAAAAAAATTTTATGGAGTCTATGAAATCGGTCACGTGGTCGGCTTTTGCGCGTACAGAAAGACGCGCATGCGTCCGACAATTTGGGATCATTGCACCGAATTCGCTAGCAAACTTGGGCTTATTTGCGCATGGAGAATCGTAGGGGTAACTTCGATTATAGATTTAATCCATTTATTTTTGCACGCAAATCGCGTAATCCTCTGCTAAGGATCCATTAATATAATTTCATTATTTATTTCGCGTTCGTGGATTAGGTGATGTAAATAAATTATGGAAGCGTACGAGAATCGAGTGCAGGAAAAATCACAGGATGGAGGTAAAAATTTTAATAACTTGTTCGTTTTATAAATTTTGCTTATACAGAATGCGCACACACAGCATGTGAAATTGTTGTTCTTTCGGAATTGTATGTAATTGTAAGAGTATAAAATTATCGCATATATTCTTTTTACACGGTTAACTTAAACGCTATTGTTTCTGATAAAGGTAGAGATATATATATATAGACAACATGGTAGTTCAACGCGTTTTCAAACGAACTTTCAAGAGATAAATTATATGCTCATTATATATATATATATATATTTACATACTCTGAAAAAATTATATGTTGTGATAATTAATTATTAATTAATAAAGTGTATAATGCATTGATTTCGTATAATCTTATTTTTTTATATGTTAGAAATACATTTCTCTCTTTCTACTTATATATATGTATATATTACATATTACTCTCTTCTCTATTAATAATATAGAAGATGGCGTTTTGCGCGTCATTGTAATATTGAATAAAAAAAAAAATTTTTACAATAATAATTTGATAACTTATTAAAATAAATGTTATTTGTATATAAAAAAATAATTTTTAAT